GTATAAAGCGAGAAAAACATATATCATTACAAATATGAATTTTTTGTTTGCTATATGTGAAAGTTGCCCAAAAAAAAAAGCACCCCTGCCCCAGCTTTTAACTTTTGGCTTAAAATAAGTTTTTTTAACTTAAAAAAAATATTTTGAGTATTGCCAAACAGCTAAATAAGTCAAAAATCAGTTTTTAAGTCAGTTTGACCAGCTTTTAAGCTGAGCTAAACAGGTTCATTGTCATCAACAAGTTTTGATCTATTTTCAAGTATATATCAAATAAAGTATGACACAATTAACTATTTTATACTATTTAATGCATGTTCATTTGACATAAAATAATTTTTGTTAGGAGTTATATTACTAAAGTATTTTATTAATAATACTTTTAAAATCACAAATATTTCTATTAATTCAACTTTTATCTCTCTTAAATTAATACTCTTTATATAATTTATGTTCTCATCCATCAAAACCTATATTAACAAATATTTCATCCAAAAAATTAATTTTAACGGAAAAACTATAAAGTTCAAATTAATTTTATAAATTCAATAAAAAAATTTCAATAATATGAGTAATCAAACAATTTATCACATGAAAATATTCTTGTATGTGCCCATGTCATCATGACCTTTTCAGTCATATAATACTCTATAGAGTTGGTAATATTTACGGGAAAACTATAGTAATAAAATATGACATTATAATATTTTATTTAAAGATATAATTAAAAATTTAAAAACTATTTGGAGTACAAATTATATGATTCATATAGAAACTTTATCAGTAAAAAACTTGAGACCCTTTTGATTAAAATTACAGATTTAAGAAACCGACATAATTGGTTTAATTTGGTAAACCTTCTGCTAATCTTAAAATTATCAAATATTGTGAATGAGAAACTTTTGGCTATAGTTTTGTTTAAATACAATGCTCAAGTGATATCATCTAGCACCAGCAACGTTAAATGCTGCTGCTAACTGAACTACAATGGGTACACTGCTTCTATGAAGCTGCATTCTGTATCTTAGCTTGACAGATTCCTAACCTTTTCTCCACGTTGAGTTGAGTCGATGGTCAAGCCACTCTCCGGTGGATCTTTCACATCTCGACGGGAGAAACCAAAACTCAAGATACTGGAGCTTAAAGCAAACCATTTTACTCAACACGTGGGGTAGACAACATAATCAGCTTAAGGCAACGACGAATTTAAAGTGGAGCTATCTCTCCTTCCTCTAATTCATCTTCCATTGGTAAAATGTCACCCAGCAATGACCAATACTTTTCTCCAATCGGGTCCATCTCTTTCGTTGACATAACTTGTGAATCAAAACTTATCAATGTATCACCAAGTACAGATGCAGTGTCCTCCTCGACAACTGATAACACGTCTGATGACTTGTTAGAGGTCTGGAATGTTGTATTTAACCTGTCAAAACTCAAGAGATCTGAAATGTGTGGGTCTGATGATCCATCATCCCCTATATCCTCCTCCCTGAACATCGCTCCCTTGGGACTTGGACTATCACTGCAATGCAGCACTTTTCGCTCAACTTTTTGAGGAACGGAAGATTTGATTACTTCAAAATCATAGTTGTGTGATGGCAGAAAAACATGAATCACAGGGTACTCCAGAATAGCTTTATTGGCTAGTTGCTCACGCAATGGAGCTTTTGAAATCAACTCACAAAAAGGTGATTTCGACCCCTGCAATCAAACAAATATTAAACTTAGACATTTCCTACAGCGTTATTCACTATAAATAGTTCATTCAGGATCATATATACCAAAAAACACAATACACATCCACGAAAAAATATTGTACCCACAAGAAATAAATGAAGAGTAAGCAGAATCAAATCACCCTTAACAAACATCCAGGATCATGCAGCACGTGCACTGACAGATGTCATTGTTATTCTAAAAACAGGACTAAGAGTCAAATCTAATCAAAAAGTAAAGGCTCTTTAAGAGAAATTACATGAGCAGCTTTTCGCATCAAAACTGCATGCAAAGAAGAACAACATAATGGTTTTACACACAACACAAGCATCAACTAAAATAGAAGATGATACGCTTCCTATTGTAACACTTAAATAAATGCACTACTTACAGAAGTTATCACGTCTTGAATTCAGAACAGAAATCACAGAAGGCGAGAGGATTGTCTCTCTAAATGTGTGAATTTTATCCAGAAGTTTGAACTTTGTACTTAAATATATGTAGAGAACAGATTTTATAAAGCAATTTTGACCATGCATACTCAAGAACATGATCATATCAAACAAGGTTTAAAACAAAACAAAGAGAGAGACCTTTGAATGTTTGCGAATGAAAAGTTTAAGACTGTCCAAAGGCTCTTCACAAAATTGCTTCAGTGGATGATTCCACGGGCCAGGTTTCAAATGAGTCTCGAGCACAGAGATGAGGCTTGTGTTTTCATGCACTCTGCAACGATAGCAATTATATAACTACTAAAGCTTCTCAAAGTGATACTAATAGTATGCAGATCAATACTATTTAGATCAAAATAGAGAATACCAATACTCAAAAGGGATAAAGTTGGTCTAGGACATTTACCCGTGGTCAATCAAGACAACGTCTGTTGAATTAAACCGCCATTCAATTGTCCAAGATATGAATTTATTCCTGCGGGAAATACATAAAAGTGCTGTGCATTAATATTTCTGAAAATATACTGATTCATACCAACATAAGATAATGGATGCTCATATCCTTGGTTCACAAAGAGCAGGGGAAGAGACGTCAATGAAAGACAAAGCAAATATACTAATACTTAAACATAAGAATGACGATAAGTCAACAACCAAGTTTGGACTAAAGCTTAACTGTAGCAGAGTTCTCCATCACCTACAAGACAGTCCTCCCTAAAATGTTAACTTGAGAGAGAAGTTACATGGGAATCAGCCATTGCCTCAGCAACAAGAACTTGGTAGTAAGAAGTTGATCAAGAGCTCATCCATGTAACTCGGGAGAGTAACTAAAGATATCTTTCAGAGGACATTGGACAAGCTATAATATGCATCTTACTCCCCTATCAAACATTAGTATGCATCTGACTACTTCTCAAGCTGTCACAAGCATAGTCTTTCACTGTGACATTGCCGCGTTCACTAAAAGTCCAGGTAGAACAGCACCCTCTTCAGGCTATGCAATGTTCCAAGGACACACTTCCACCAATGACCGACAACATGACTCATTGACTTTCCTTTGAGACAAGAATCTTTTTTTGAAATTGGTAACTATATATATATAGTTATACCATAACAGTGCAAAAGACTTTACAAAATCCCAAACAAGACTTTGAGACAAGAATCTCATCCACTACCGAGTCTACAATACTATCAACACACACTAGCAGGAGCAGCTGGTCATGACTGGATGCACAAGAATATATTTATCAAAGCCCCTCTAGGAAAGGCCTTTTCCATCGACAAATGCTATCTGGCCCAACAACTGTAAGCTTCAATCACAAATTTGCACCTAATACTAATTCTGCTATGCATGCTCTATCAATCACGTACATGTTCTAAATACAAGTGTATGCTGCATATGCCAGAGAGTAACCTACCGATGCACCTCACCTCTGGGCAATGGCACCCAAATGTATTATTATGTCATGCGGAGGTCATTTAGCAAAAGCATATCAACTTCCATTAAGCTAAGCGAGCTAGAAGATAAAGTGAATTCTTTTTCTCTGCTTTCACCGCAATTTTCTTTGGTTTTCCTCTTTGGGAGTACTCCCCCCCCCCCCCATAAATTTAGGTGGCACCGTTTGACTAGGCACAAAGTTTAAGAAAGAACGGAAGATTTTTCAAATTTGTGGTCTAAAACAAATCTTAGACATTTGTGTGGTTTTAAATCATTTCATTTAGGGTATTGGAGAATTTTAAAGTTAAGTTGTTTCTAATTATAGAAAGATGACATTCTTATGCGCCAAAACCTAATCAATTACAAATTGTGTTTACATTAGACTAAAAAAATTATTTTATTTATTTTTTCCTTCTTCTTTCATCGTAGAGACTCCCATTAGACATAAAATTCCTTCCATTTCGCCTTATACCGAGCATTCTCATTAATTTATTTATTTTTCTGCACTTCAACAATCACTACTTGGTAGTTTAACAACATTTCAACTACGTTGGAAAAGGATCTTAGTTTTTTTAAGGTGACAACTCAAATAGAACTGTAAGTTGCATCCATACCTTAGCGAGAGGATCAAGTCATTACGTAATTCTGAACAAGTGAGATAAAACTATTTCCACAGATACTACATTGCTACTACAGTGACTCTAAACAAGGCGAAGTGATATGACAAAAGATGGAAATGGAAGAGAGGAAAGGAGAAAATGATGTCAAATGCTAAGGTAATAGTTAAACCAAAAGGCCATTTGCAAACTTTGTACTTTTATGAGAAGATGAGAACCTCTAGAGTTTCAGTTTTTTACTATTAAAGTATATACAAGTTGACACAGGAAGGGGTTCTCCATTTCCTCAGTTTCTGGGATTCAAAATCAAGTCATTTGAAGGGATTCGTTCCACAAAACTGGTAATGTTATAGTCAAATCAGAGATACAAATACCATAAGCATGATGGGTTGACCAAAGAACAGAATATCACTGCAACCTTATGCATTTGAGATCAACAATTACCTGTTGTTGTAATAAGTTTGATTTTTCTCCCTCTTTGACATTCCACTGGACAGAAAGTGTATTTTAGTTCTGCGACTGTCTGCAGCTCTACGAAGGTTTTTAAGAGGGAAAGGAAGCTTAAAACGAGAGTAGCCACATAGCCTCTGTCTCATTCTTCTTGCAGATTCAGCAAACCTTTTAACATCCTCAAGCATATTATAATCTGCAGTAGGAAGAGGTTCTCAGATAGCACATCATTATCAGAAAAATAAAGAGAGAAATGCAAAGTAATACTATTGTTCCATTGAGTACAAATGAATCTAAAGTAGGAGCACTGAATAGATAATAATTATAATAATAAAACACCTTGAGTAATGTTACAATGACATTCTCAACAATATTTGATTACATCTGATGCAAGTCATGTTTCAAGAAAAAAATATCAAAGTAAAGCAAAGGTCTTTTTCATCGATCAACGAGAGAGAGACTTGGATAAAAATGTCAACAACAAAGCTAATCAATCTTTAGACACTAGTTTCACCAAAATGGTCAAAAGTAAAGAGTTCAACAGAAAGCATTACATGGGGAAAAAAGGCGGGAAAAATCATTTTGAAGAAGATTCCACGAAATTCGAGTCAAGTTTGTGTTTCAAGATTTTGACTGGTACAGCAGGTCATGGAAAGAAAGGGAGACAAATTGAGTGTAAATGAAGGTCCTATTCCTCAATCAAAGAATGCAGCTATCTTGAAGAGTAAAGACTTGAATCCGGTCATTCAGAGGGCAGTGAAGAGGCTAGCAGCGTGGCAGAAGAGTTGTTTGTCACCAAGGAGGGACGGAAGTGCTTATTAAGAGCAATTTATCAAGTATTTCTACATATTTTTGAAATTGGTAACATGAGTATTCCTATATATTGCATGTCCTTTTTGATGCACCCTCTGTTGTTATAGCAAAGTCAGAAAGGTTGCAAGGAAACTTTTTTTGGGATGCGGTAAATGGGAAACAGAATTTTAACTTAGTATGATGGGAGACCATGAGAGCTCCTAATGGTGGGGGATAACTTGGGGTTAAAAACTTCAAGGTTTTGAACAAAGCACTTTTGTGTAAATGGTGGTGGCAATTCGGGGTGGAGGGAGAAGCTTTATGGAGAGTGGTGTGACAGTGAATCAATATGGAGTAGCGGAAAGGGGATGGAGAACAAATGCGATTATTATGTCTTTCGTCCGTGGTGTGTGGAGAAATATAATGAGGGGTTGGGAAGCCTTTAATGATAGCATTGCTTTTAAGGTTCAGGTTATGAATGGAGATAGATTTGGGAGGTAAAAAGGTGTGTTGGTGTGGTGTTAAAGGATAAATTCTTGGTACTGTATAGGACCTCTTGCTATAGAGAATTGTCCGTTAGGGGAACACAAGGGGGATGGGACTTTTTGGGTTTCAGGTTCACGAGGAATTTCCAAGACTGGGAGGTGGTCGAGCTTCAAAGATTGCTATACTTTACAAGCAATGTGAACCAATTGGCAAACCCAATCCTTTGAGTTGGGAGGTGGGACGAACAAAATATTTTGTGTCAAATCCTTCTACGAGAAGTGTCTTGTTAGTGTGGAGGATAATTTCCCATATGATTAGGTCAGCGTTGTAGAAGGTGGTGCTTCCACATGATTGGCAACTATAGAGGTGATTTTGACAGAGGTTCTTAGAAAATGAAAAGTTGTTTGCATAAATTGGTGTTTCGTATGTAAGGAGTCGAGTGAGGTACGTGGATCCATCTTGTTACATTGCAAACTAGCCATGAGGTTATGGTGGGATACTTCATATGGTTTGGTGTTTCTTGGGCTATGCCAAAATTCAATATGGAGTTAATGTTTAGCTAGAAAAGTGGAGCTACGAGACGAAGGCACAAGGCCTGTAACCGTTACTCCTCTTGCATTGCCTCAATCGAGGAATAGTCTCCGATACCTCATTTTCTTTTAGTTAATGTTTGTATACAGGATATGGAATTTCCAATTAACTAGTACCACCAAGATGGTAAAAACAAGAATCTTTATGCTCAAATATCACCAAAAATCCTCCAAAGCAACGAGTTCCACACAAAGCAATTAAAGGGAAAAGATGTTTGGCAGTTTCATACAAAATCCACAGATAAGCAAAACAGGAATTGATTGATTTCAAAAACAATAAAAATTCAAACTTTTGGACGAAATAATGACATACCTGATAAAAGGATGTTATCGTCGAATTGAGAAAGAGGGAGAACTTCAGTGAGGGATTTTTTGCCATTGCAAGCAGTCCTTTGCTTGTGGGAATTGACGCAAGGGAGACTACAAGTACGTATAGAGCAACCTGGGCATTTATACTTCCATGGATTTAACTTGCACTCTTCACATTCAACTGATGAAATTGGGTTAGGGTTTGATTCTTGTTCCTTCTCCATTACACAGCTTACGGTCGCTCTTCAATTTTTTTTTTGAACTTTTTGGTGTTTGTCTGCTTATTCTTCAGTTTTCTGCTTTCAGGGTTTTGTATTGCCGCAAGGGTTTCATAACGCCAGTTCTTTCATCATTGCAATTATAAGATTATATTAAAATTTAAAAATAATAAAAGTAAATAATTACAAAAATTAAAAGTACATATTTTCTTTGAGCATCACAATTGACAAAAAGATTAATATTATAAATTATTAAAATAATATTTGACAAAAAAGAGAATCTATCAATTTTAATGAAAAAATAAATTAACTTATAATGTCAAGTTTCAAGTCATACTATTAAAACAACTTGAATGAAAAATATAACATAAACTCTAAATTCAAAAACAATAAATTTAGCATATATGTTTATGTCAAATTTCAACATAACATACATAAATATTGATTTAAAAGAATAGGAAAATGAAAGTTTATAATTTTACTCAATAATGAATTCTACTTTGATTTAAAAATTATAATACTAGCAAAATTATACTAATAAAATAAACAAACATGACATAAACATATAAATAATATGAAAAAAAATCCATAAAATCACATGAAATAGAGAATGCAAATGAGAAAGAAATGAAATATAAATAATATATACTATAAAAATAATGGGTTGGTGGGAAGGAAAATAAAAGATGACACATTTTCACCTTTTGGATCAATAACTATTTTTCCAATATAGTTAGAAAAATAATGTTGTCTAAGTGAAATATATTTTCATAAGCATCAAATATAGATTTAAGATTTAAAATTTATTATATTTTAATAATTATAATTTTGATATATTATTTATTAAAATTTTAATTAATTTTCACACACAAATTAATATTTCACATAAAAAATATTAAATTTAAATGAACACAATGCTTAAACACTATATCCACCAAAGTTGAAAGGTTTTCCATAACATAGACCAAGCAATAAACATAAGTACCACTAACAAAATATTTATTCAAAAACACATAAGTAATTATTAAACTCACACAAAACTCAATTACATTTCTTGACTTTTTTAAGCACATTATCAGTAACTACACAAACATGTTCTAAGACTCTTAACAATTAGAGAAATATTAATTTAATTGTTAAAAAGACCATTCAGATAATCTAGAAAAAAAAGATATTACGTAATGATATTTTTCATCAAATTACTAAATCTTTTTTTTATTGAACATAAAAAAAGAAAGAAAAAAGCAAAACAGATGTCTTGATAGAGTAAAAAATGGACTAAGAAAGATTATAAACATCACCATTGGAAAAAGACCTCACCAACTATTTTTTCTTAATTGAAGATTTTGATTTAAGCTCGAATACGAATAACTTTTATAAAAAGTGTTTACTTCAAATACACTCATACTTAATATAAATTAAAATTAATTTGATTTTGATGTAAATACCAACAATAAAATAATTTTTATTTTATTTTTTTTAAAAAACCCACAAGATAGAAAATCAAATACTATATAGTATAGTCGGAATAAAGTTATTCCTTTAGAATAAAAAGGCATATAAGCCAATTGGCGAAAACGCGATCCATAGAACCCCTCAAAGATTACTGTACACTTCTCTTAGATCTCACCAGCATTCCCCTGAATCCCAAGAACCTCCCAAATCTTCAGTCTCAGATCTCATCAATTCATCATCAAAGCTCTTTAAATGCAGTTACTGTAGGAAATTTTCTTCATTTCCTGATCTGGGGTGTCTTGTTTTCTTGTGCTCGATCGGTAACTAACAACATCAAGGTAGAATTTTTACAATGTTTTTGGTCGTTTCTTGGATTTATTTGCTATTGGGTAGTGTTCATTTACTGTAAATTTTGATTCTTTAATCTTGCTTTATTTCTGTGGTATCAATTGGTTGTTGTAGGATGCTATCAATTTTGAGTTTTTGATTTGTAAATGAATGGCCTGATTTTGTTTTGCTTGACCAAAATTTGATCATGTGGAGCGGTTATTGGGTGCAAATGAATCTTCTAGCTTACTGTTTTGGTTAAAGATTAAGAATCTTTTGTACGAGTTTGGATCCATTGCCTGATGAGACATTATTATCTTTGATTTCAACATCTGAACAAGTTATATCTTCATTTTTGGGCAATTTCATGTTGTCAATAAGAAATCATCCTAGAGTTTTGGGGAAAATGCGGAGGTTAGTGCTATGGATGTTCTCTTAGAAAGTAGTATAGCGCTTAAGTTTTAGTAGATGGTCAGGAAAGAAAGCTAACTGCATTATCTCGCCTCAGGTCTGTATTTTTGTAAGCATAAACTTTCAGAATTTAATAGTTGCAACAGCTTGAATTTTGTTGGACCTATGAAAAGAAAAAAAAGTTAGGCAAAGCAAAGATGTATCCTTATGAATCTTTTTGTATGTAAACATAGAGCAACATACATACTTGAATGAAATTGTATTCCCTTGCTAGTCTTTGGTGCAACATGGCCTTTGTAAAGGATGTAGATTTTATGTTAGATATGATCTGGGCTTTGCAACTTTGTAATTATTAATGCATTGTCCTAAGTGTTGTTATACCATTTTTAATATATCATTACTTATCAAAAAAAAGAAGTTTACTATATTTGAAAACCTGAATGCAGTTGTAATACTGTAAACTGAAATATGTTATGTTTTAACTTTTATGTGATTGACTTGAATCTGCGTGTAAATGGCGTGTTTGCGTGTGTTTCGAGGCTAAATGGGCGCCATAGAGGCAAACAGCTGCTGTATGCAAGTTTATAATTGTACAAATTTAAAAAAATTAAATGAAGCTCAATGTTGCATATTTGTAAATTGGAGTACTGTACTATTAGTTTGAAACTTTAAATTAATTTTTCTTTTCATACTTCCAATATAACCTGGTGTAGACATCTCTGCTGATTGTCATTACCATATAATAACCAATTTTATCTGCTTATTCTGAAAAGAAGAGAAGAAACCAACAAGTTTGATCACACTTGATACATTCGATAGACTACACCATAACTCCTTTACACTAGGCCAAAGGGCAATCAATCAGGCTTATAATAACAGTACTATGTAGATTGTACGGATAGAGCGGTTGTCGTTGTGTTCATGAATCTAGAATCTTGCTTGTCTTTAATTTTGGAGTTCCATTATTCCTTGTGTCAGTCCAATTGTATCATTAAATACACAGCTTGTTTTCTCTCTGTATGACATAGTAGAACATTCTCGAGCATTAAATGGAGCTCAGAATCTATTATTTTAGTAGTGGATAGATTTTATGATTATCTTTCTATGATAAAGGCTCTTTTACCATAAATATCTCTTTACATTAAAGGTTATTTATGGTATTGGATATATTTTGAAACATCTGTCAGAAGTAATATGGTGTAGCAGGTCTCATCGACAGTAAATATATATTAGTGAAGCGGTATTTTTTTCTGATTGGTCAAGGCTCTTGAGTTTTCCCATGTGTCATCAGTCCCCAGTATTGATCTGGTTCAAAGGCCTGCAGCTCCAGTCCCTACTTCATTTGTTTAGCTAACTCACTTTTAAACATGGTCTAAGTTTGTAATTGTTCCTGATCTGGTGGAAGTTTAAAATTTTGATCACCTTCCTCCCCCTCCAAACGCAAAAAGAAGAAAGATTTATTTCTGGAAATGTTCAACAGTTTTTTTTTTTAACATTTGTAGGAGTGAAGTTTTGGCGGTAATATTGTTGTTTGTGCCTCTAATGTAAATATCTGCAGTCTTCTACCTATAGGTGTAACCATTTCAGGGTGATCATGAATTAGCAAGCTGACGTTACTTTGAGGTTTTCAAAAAATTAGCTAAAGTTTTTGAGTTTTTGAGATTTCCAAACTCAACTTTTCAAATCTTCCTAAAACTCAAAAACTGAGATTTGGAAACTCAATTTGGAAATTTTCATAAAAAGTTAAAAATTTGTTCCAGAAACAAGTCAAACAAACACTTAAGTAATGCTGAGCATCTAACTCAGTATTTTGTAGAACTCCAAACATATACCACCTAAAGAACATGTGCTTTACTTTTTTTCATAGTGGTTGTACAGCTAATTCGCTTTACTGCATGCAGATTCTAATTTCACTGTTTATATTGCTAAATGTTTTATCTTTGCCATGATTCATAGTGGTTTTCTCTCTTCTGATAGAATTATTTAAGATGTGGAGATTCAAACCTTTTATGCCCAAGGAACAGACTGGGCTTGAAGGTCGTAGCATTGATATTGGTAATATCAAAGTTCACGTACGCAATGCAATTGCCGAGGGAGGATTCTCTTGTGTTTATTTAGCCCGAGATATCCTACATGGTTCAAAGCAGTATGCATTAAAGCATATGATTGTTAATGATGAAGAATCACTTGATCTAGTATTGAAAGAGATTTCGGTGATGAAATCGCTTAAGGGTCATCCTAATGTTGTTACACTTCACGCGCATACCATCTTGGATATGGGTCGTACAAAGGAAGCTCTCCTTGTCATGGAATATTGTGAACAATCCTTGGTTAGTGTCCTTGAGAACCGAGGAGCTGGCTTCTTTGAGGAGAAACAGGCCCTCTTAATATTCAGGGATGTGTGCAACGCGGTCTTTGCTATGCACTGCCAATCCCCACCAATAGCTCACAGGTAAAGACAAAAACTCTTAAGCCCGAATAGTTTTCTAAAATGACGACGAACTTTCTTTAGCACTAATTTCAGTTGAGGTTAGGCTTTGTTTATAATAGTCCTCACTATGTTTCATCTGTTCAGTGATTTACGGCTTCATAAATCATAATTCCTCTTCTTTGCTTGCACAGTATTTTTCATTTTATGTGAAATATGTTGTCATGTAATCCACATCTGTCTTCAACTCTCTTTATATTTTTTTCCAGCTTAATTTTGTTCATTGCCTTGATTTTTCGTCTATTGCGCTTTCCCTTGTTTGTGGTTAGAGCTATTGAGTTATCACTTTTTTTTTAAAAAATGTTTATATTGTATTCTTCAGCATTAAGAATATGCTGGTGACCTTCAAAAAATGAAGGGGGACAAAAGAAGAGAAAAAAAACACTTGCAACTATCCTAATAATTCTACAATCTGTTCTGTTTCCATTAGACCTTTCTCTTTACACCAAAAATATAAAGATACAGTACAATTCCATTAAACCTTCTGCTTAATGGTTCTGTTGATTCCATATACAATCTATGAGTTTGAGTTGTTTCAAGTTATTGACATAAGCAGCTAGGAATTTCAATGCACAAAAGTGAACAGTTAAGAGATCCAATTTATTGCAAAACCGTGACTGACTAGGCTGAATTTATTCACATAAGTTTGTCTTCTGATTTTATTATTCTTTCATTCTCTACTGTTTTTCCTGTTCTACAGAGATTTGAAGGCTGAGAACCTTTTGCTGGGTGCTGATGGATTGTGGAAGTTGTGTGATTTTGGTAGTACTTCAACCAACCACAAACGTTTTGAGAAACCTGAGGAAATGGGAATTGAGGAGGACAATATAAGGAAACACACGACACCTGCATATAGAGCTCCTGAGGTTGATTGAGGACCTTGTTATTGATTATTGTTATATTCGATGGTATTGATTGCTGACTTCTATATCCCTTCTTTTCTTGCCTTAGATGTGGGATTTGTACCGAAGAGAACTTATAAATGAGAAGGTAGACATATGGGTAAGTTTAGCAGACTGAAGGAACTTTAAGATGATTTCAGAAACAGCAAATCCTTTACCTAGATTTTATCTTTAATAATCAGAAAATTTAATTCTTCTACGTAGATTTATGGGGTTTTCTTAGAACACAGCGGCACCTTTGTCTTGCAGGCCCTTGGCTGTTTACTCTTTCGGATATGCTACTTCAAGTCTGCATTTGATGGTGAATCAAAACTTCAAGTTTTAAATGGCAATTACCGGATTCCAGAATTACCAAAATACAGCACTTCCATCATAGACCTAATAAGAGATATGCTTCAGTCATCACCAGATGCCAGACCAGATATCACGCAGGCAAGCGCTTTGCTTGATTGGCCATTCATCTGCATAAACTTAGGTTAGTTGTAGAGTGGTGCTGCCCATAGCAATCATAAGGGCTGACCCTACTCTAAAGCTTTCTAACTCGATTTGTTTTATTTTATGGCAGGTGTGGTTCCGTGTTAATGGTCTGTTGCCAGATGAGCTTCAAAAGTCGTTACCCGAAAGACCCCCTGAAATGCAGCAACAGGGTATTGATGGGCATGAAGGTGAGAAACGTTTTTTCCAGATCTTTTGTTTTTAGTGTGAACTATTTATAGGAATTTCTCAGGTTTGTGATTGATTAACGTTTTATCCGTGAAGTTCGTTGGAAGATAACATTGATAATAAAGAATCAATTTCTGTCATTTAAAATTCTTTTCATCAATTGTACAAAATCTTAAAAGTTCCCTTTTCTGGTTCTGGTCTAGAAGTCGCCTGAAGTTCCTTAGTAGTCATTTGAACAATATTCGGCTGAAGTTGAAAAAGAAAAAAAGAGTATTGGAAGTTGAAATTGACAGATATGCTGTTTTATATGGTTCCATGCTTACTGTACAATTGAAATATTTTTTTGATGCTTGTAATGTTACATATGAATTACACATCTTTCTTCTATTGTGGGGAGAGAGGTATGGGGGTTTTCATATGGGACGTGACATCTCTACTATGTTGCGACCGGAGACACTAGTAAGATACAAAATCCTGGCTCCACTTCATTGAAATCTAATATCTGCTGGATTTTCAGGATTTCCAAGAGCTGCTGGTAAGACCAGTCCAATGCCTAGCAGAAATCCTCCGCCACCTCCTTCGGCTGCTGAACCTAATCATAATGCATCGCCTGCATCACATAATTCAAAAGCCGGTGGAGCTACTGGTCCAATCGGTGCATTCTGGAATACTCAGCATGCAACCAATGCCTCTGTTTCTGAGGAGACAAGCAGACCCAAATTTGACGAAGAGATAAGGCACAGTTCCTCAGTCCATGACAAGAGTCATCCCAATAAGGTTTCTGTTTCTAATCGAAATAGCCCTTTGAAAGAGGAAAGTCTCAGCTCCCACCCGATGCAAAATAATGTGCGACCAAAACTAACCAATAGAGCAGGGGAAGCCCCATCAAGGGATTTTGAGATAAACTTTTTCCAGGATGGTTCAGGTCAGAGTGTTGGGAATAATAAATCGTCAAAGTTAGAGGGGCCAACTGCCCCCCAAGGTGAAGGATTCAATTCTTTTGTTGCGGAATTCTGTATCAATAAACCTAGCCCTGGAAATAACACTAAACAAACGGAGAAGAAAGAGCTCATGGAAGCTGAGGTTGAGAAGTTGAAGCAACAGCTGTCACGAGCCAACATGGAGAAGGCTGAAATAACATCTAAATATGAAAAGCTATCTGCAATATGCCGATCACAGCGACAGGAGTTACAAGAGCTTAAGCAAGCTCTTGCTGCCAGAACTCCATCACCACATGTAGACACCACGAGGGACCACCACGCATCTCCTGGAAGTCAACCATCCAGTACTCCACCGGTACATCCTTTGCTATTAAATTTTCATTGTTAGTAAAAATTATAATTGGTTATTCAATAATTATTAATTCAAAATTGATTTTGATACAGAAAAAAGATAACATTGAAGGAACAGTTTGGGAACTTCAGCAAGGATTATTTGGCCAGAGTCAGGTGAGCTCAGATTCAAAATCCTGGCAAGCATTTGCGGATGATCCAAAGCAACAAGCTACTCCAGTTAATTCTACTCCTAGATCTGTCAGGACAAAAAATGGCCACCAGAACAGAGAGACATCTGAAACTAATACATCAGCATTTGGAACGGATAGCTTTAGAGCTGTGCCGGCTTTCAGCTCTCAGATAAAGGCCACTTTCAATGAGTCGAAAAATTCTCAGCGTTTTGGTGAACCAAAGAATATTGATAGCAAATCAGCGTCCCAACCTGCTGGATGGGCAGGTTTCTAAAAGATGTTATAGCTAAACTTAGTACGTCCGGCAAGGCAGTCAATTTTACAATTTGAGATTTCCTTTACAAGATACTCTTCCTATTATGGAAGAATGAATTCCGGGGGATGTAAAACATACAATTGTCCAGTTGTTTTGAGCTCTTGGTTGTTTTGTGTAGATTTTGAACCTATTATATCATATCCATTAGCTTCTGGTGTAGCTTTGATTTGTTATCGCCAATTGATTATTGTGATCTATTGTTATTATGTTGATCAAGCATATGCGCTCTTGCAGATAAATTTGGATCAAACATATAGAATGAGCTTGTTTGTAAGTGGCACCAAAAGGTGTGACTTCGTGACCAATGAAGTAGGTGATAAGCATGAGACACTCAAGTTCAAATCTCAATAGAGACAAAAAATAGCTAGTAAGAATAGCACGTTGCAGCTGTTAATTCTCCAGCATGGCGTTCATCTCCATAAGTTTGACATGGGCATCTACTAGTATATGTTAGCCCTCGCACTCTTCAAAAAGGATGCATCAATGAAAAATACGCTAGTTTTGAAGAATCTGCGCGGAGCAACAGTATATTACATTACTTATTTTTTGAGCAAGACACACAAACAGGTCCAATCTCATAATATGGGCTTACCATCTGTAACTTTGGCCCAAAACAAAGACAGGCAAAGGCAAAAAAGAAAATCCACGTGGCGAACAACCATTTGTTAATAAAGTAGGACGCGGATTGGTATTTACTTGTGAGATCTCTACCGTTAACACTGAAAATTTTTATGATCCAACGGATGTTATTTGAGCTCCCAAAATTTCATAACTCCCTCCCAAATTTCTTATGATTCCCGCTAAGCTTCACTCCTATATTATATCTCTCAAATTCACCTTCTTTTGCACAGTCAAAAGCATTTCCCAATCTATCATACAATCAAAATGGCTCGTACCAAGCAAACAGCCCGCAAATCCACTGGTGGAAAAGCTCCAAGGAAGCAACTAGCTACCAAGGCTGCCAGAAAGTCAGCTCCGGCCACCGGAGGAGTGAAGAAGCCTCACCGTTTCAGGCCAGGAACTGTGGCCCTGAGAGAAATCAGGAAGTACCAGAAGTCCACCGAGCTGTTGATCAGGAAGCTGCCATTTCAGAGGCTAGTGAGGGAAATCGCTCAGGATTTCAAGACAGATCTGAGATTTCAGAGCAGTGCTGTGGCTGCGCTACAAGAGGCTGCTGAAGCTTACCTCGTTGGGCTCTTTGAAGATACCAATCTCTGTGCAATCCACGCAAAGAGGGTTACCATCATGCCCAAGGATATTCAGCTTGCTAGGAGGATTCGAGGAGAAAGGGCTTAGGAACCTTCTTTTATGTTTATCATTCATTTGTGTTCTGTTTTAGGGCTTTGCTTGCTTCTTCTGTTAAATGTTTGTGTAGATCAAATTATATAAACCTCTGGTTTAGTACTATTTTGAGATCTGATTAATGAAATCTGTAGTTCATTTTATCACAATTAAAGGTGCTGCTCATGCTATGATTTGGAGTTTATATTGCGTTTATCTTCTTTATTGCTTCTGTCTTTTGGTAGTGTAGAGTGTAGGGCTTTCATTAATTGTTCTATTTTGCACAAAGTTTCATTCATTAGCATTTTGATTAGTTGTTGCATTGTATGCTGCAATTGAGGGAAGAATCCGTATCATATATTATTATAAGTGGGGAAAACTTAAATCAAAAGTTGACTTTCCTATAAATTAAAATGTTATAATTAGTTTAATTAAATATTAATAACTTTTGTATTATTATTAAAAGTGAAGCTTTTAGCTTCAAAATTGATCACTTTTTAACCCTACTATAAGTTAAAATGTTATAAAATATTTAATTATTTAAACATTAGAATTCTCAATTAGTTTTTTCTAATATATATTTGTATTCATAATCGAATTTCTACGTGACTCACCTTTAGGGGGCGTTTGGTAGGATGTATTAAAAGAAATAATTCATGTATTAGATGTGGTATAATTTAATACTGTGTTTGGTAGGAATGTGAGCCTATGTATAATTAATCCATGAATTAGTTAATACATCCTACATGGTATTATGTGATGTATTACTAATACCTTCCATTTGGAGGTATTAGCTCTAATACCATGGGATTATTCTACGTAAAGACAAAAATACCCCTCAAATCCTTTTAATATTTTATTTATTTTTTTGATTTTATATTTTATATTTTATATTTATACTAATAAAGTTATTTAAATAAATTAGCTTACAACTTTTATTATTTAGATATAATTTTTTGTTTCTAAAATATGAATTACTTAATCTATTTATTATTAATATAAAATATTATAATCCGATTAATATGTTAATGCTATTATATGAATTTAAGAACAATTCATAAGTAATATTGTCTCTTAATGAAAGTTCATTAAACATTACACAAGTAGTCTAAAACAAGAGTGTGTGTATATATATGCACACACACATCTCAAGTATAAAAATAGTTTAATTTATTTTTGTATTTTTATTTTATTTTATGGTAAAGTGTTTCTTAAAATTTATTGATACAAAACAAAGTTCAATAAATTTTCTCTATAATCATTATAGTTGTGTAACCTTTTGAGTTATTAACTCTAATTTATTAAGATAACAATTATTTACTCTCAAATAATTTAAGTGAAAAAATAGTGAACATGACAATAAAAATTTAATTCTCCTAGCTAGTTAAAAATGTTATAAAAAATAATATTCTCTGTTAATTATTTACTTTGACTCAATTACATGAAATACAAAATCTCATAATAACTCTAGGGTATAATTGGAAAGTTTTTTTTAAAAAAACTTTTAAACCACACACAAAATTAGATAAGAACTAATGAACCAAACACTTGATAAAAATAATTCTTGCATTGCTAATCCCTGCAATATTCATTTTTGTACTAAACGACCCCTTAATGTAATAAGCTAATATCCAATTACTCTCTTTGTTTATTTTTACTTGTCATGTTTCGATTTTTGAGAGTCAACTTTAATCAACATCTTTGTCATACGAAATAACAAAATAATAAAACGTTACTCGTAATAACATTATATACTTTAATTTACCGATTGATCATTAAATTTTTCTTGTTAGAATTAATGAATAAAAAGATGTAAATCTTTAATTCTTTCTCCGAACGATCATTAACTCAAGAGATTTGCTTTATTCTTTTATCAAAAAGTTGTAGTAAAATCCTATCACTAAAAATTGATTTGTCGGTCATTATAATATTAATTAATAAATAGTAACAAAAGATGAATAAATGAATATAAATCAGCATTTCACTGACATAATAGAGAGAAAAATTCAACCCCCTAAAGAAGGGGAAAAGATATGAAATATATTCAAATGATTGAAATTGTTGTAACGATATTAAACTTTGGAAAGTACCTTTTATACCCTACAATGTTTAATGTGTATTTTAAATATATGTGTCCACGTAAATATAAAAAATATTGCATAATTATAAAATTGAGCTTCTGTGTGTATTTCTTTCTTTTTTTTTCCTTCTTTTAGCCGTATAAAGACTTTTTTATTGGCACGAGCTAGGGCTTGAGCGTACTTTGATCTTCAAGTATAACTAGCGAATTTTTTAGGCTTAAAGAGCATGGATTGAGTTCGTCTTGTCAACATAACAGATCGCCCCAAATGTAATTGAACTTCATTTAACTCATATAATCTAACTATGCATAGATGAAAAAGTGCACAAACGTACAAACAGAGAGGTTGCAAAATGCAACTCTGAGAATCCACAAAACTCTTCTAAACAAATTACTGAAAGTTGCACT